GGGCACAGGTCTCTGCTACTGTTATTTTGTGGGTCAAAAGCTGAAAAGTTTGGGAACCACTGCACTTTGGTTCCCAAAGTTGGGCTTGGGACCCAATTATGGGTCATGAAGCACCTTGGATAATCTCCAGAAATCAATTTAAAGGCTAATAAAATAATCGATGATGTAATATTTTCCCTATAATTATTACAAAACCACAAAATATAAGTATAAATAAGTATTTATATTTGTGTACAAGCTGTTTAGATTGTCAAAAAGCCTGTGTTTTTAGGGTTATTAACGAAGTTTGTGTACTCAGACCAGTAATATTTGGGGTCACAAGTTTTTGCCATGGATATTTTGTGGATCAGAAGATAAAAAGTTTGAGAACCACTGGTATAAAGCACTAAAAGGGGCACTAATTTCCTGATTAGTGCTTTAAGGCTTTTGATAATTTCTTAATTCATTCGTAGATCAGCACTTATTAAATTTATGGTCTAAATTTATAAGCACTAATTGATTTTTTTAAATATTATTGATGAACATTATTGTGAAGAGCTGAGGGTGAAAGCTGTCAGATGTGTTGGTCATTTGTGTTACTTCTACACAACATCAGTGCTTTTCTGACTTTTTTGTTTCTGACCCACAAAATAAGAGCTGCTCCTGACCCAGATATTATTTGTTTACATAGCAAACTTTGCTAACAACTCAAACATGGGAATAATAACTATAAACAAACCTAATAACTGTGATACTAATTTTATTTATTTATGATTATTTAAAAAATTCATGATGAAAATACTCCATTAGTATTTTTTACATTTAAATTGATGTGAAATCATCTGGGGACCCTCACTTCATGTTTTGTGACCCACAAAGAGGTCCCGGCCCACACTTTGTGAACCACTACACAAGATGAAATATTAACACTATTCTGCACAGGAAGTTTTGTCTCATTGATGGGATTTTAGTGCTTTACAATTAGCTTTTGATAAATTTTTAAGTGTTAGTGCTTTAGACTTGGGGAACCTAAATTTTAAAGTTAGTGCAAGTAATTTTTAGATTAGAGCTGCCATCACTGCAGAACTTTTTTACACTCCTTGTCTACAAAAACCAGGAGAAAAGGTTGATAAAACAAAGGACAGCCCACCTCTACAAACTGACACAGGTGTGGCTGGTTGTGATGACATCATCACTTCTGCAGCGCCTCTCAGCAGGTTAGCCAATCCCCTTTCAGCTCCTCGGGTTCTTTCATCCAATCACAACGGGTTACCTGAACACTCATTTACATGTAGATTCACACAATAACACAAAACCTGGTCAGTCCTGGTCCTGGGGGGCCACAGTCCTGCAGGTCGTACCTGTTCCTCTGCTCCAACACACCTGGTGTGAAAGAATAATGATTATCAGGTTTCTGCAGTACGGAGCACCAACACTGACAGAACTAAAAATAAAACAGAATTATATTAACCACCAAATAAATACACTTAAAATTAAATTTAAAAAGGAGAACTTTATGTCCTGTTTTATATTTTAATTGACTTTCATTTTTATTTTTCCATCTTAGTTCCATCAAATTAGTCTATATATTTGAACACATAATTTAAAATTTACTGTATTTAATTGTTTTCCTTTTACTTGTACATGCATTTGTGTGTCTTAAATGTTTATACTTAATTATTTTATATTTTTTCCCAACAAGAATTTTTATTTCTACATGCTGCATGCTTGTGTTGCCTCAGTTTGACTAAAACTTTAAAGTTTAGTTTAAAACAAAGTAAGGTAAGGAGGAAAACATCACCTGTGCTTTTATTTTAACAAAACTTTAAGTTAAACTACAGCAACATAAACATGCAACACAAAAATAAAAGACTTGTTGGACAAAATTATGAACATAATTCAATTTAAGTATTTAAGAGACACAAATGCATGTACAAGTAAAAGGAAAGACTATAAATATATATTTAAAGAACATTAAAATTTTAATTATATGTTAAAATATAAGATAAAACTTTATTGATCCCACAGTGGGGAAATTTGCACATTACAGCAGCTCAGAACAGGACAGGCTGAGATACAATAAAGTAAAAGAAAAAAACACTATACTTGTGATATATAACAATGTACATGTACCTAGTACAGTACATAAATGAATGCACGTGCGTATTACTGACACCAGTGTAAATATATAATTTATTGGAACTAAGCTGTAAAAATAAATATGAAGGTGAATTAAATGATAAAACATGAGGTAAAGTTCTCCTTTTTAATTGTTTTGGTTCATTTTAAATGTATTTATTTATTTAAATGTTCATTTATCTATTTGTGCTTTTATTTCTAATGATGTCAGTGTTGGTGCTCCGTACTGCAGAACATGAAGAGGTGGTTCAGTGACTGGACCAGGTGTGTTGGAGCAGGAAACATGTGGAACATGTAGGGCTGCGGCCCCCCAGGACCACCTTGTTTCCTCACAGATCAGGAGGAGTGGCTGTGGAAAGACAAGTCAGGGTTTTCCTGCTCAAACTGATAACTTCAGTTTGACTCCAGAAACTCTGTCGTTTAAAGAAACTTTCAGAAAAACACAACAAATATCAGCACAGTGGGGATACACTGTACTTCTTATATCCATGTCCTTTTACAAAGTACACATTTATTTATCTAAGAGCAGAGCTGCTGTGTTCATCTCTGACCAAACCTGAAGAAAAACAACAGACGTGCACAAAGTGGAACAAAATACTGAAAGTCTTTATTTCATGCTGCAACATTTGTACATGTGTTGTCTCAGACTGAACTGATCCTCACAGACAAATCACTGGTCTGTTAACATCCTTACTGAGCAGGTCTTATCAAATACATGAAGTTATTGTTGTTCACTATAACATATGGTTCACCACAACTAGTGCTGACATCACTTCTGGATGTGCTTCAATACATCCTGTAAGAACGTCCAGAAACCAGGTGGAAACATAAACACAGTGCTCATCAAATCCATCAAAGCCCAAATAAAACACAACATTATAAAGCTACTGAGAAATATTACCACTAATACTACATTTTACTTAAAAATTACATGTTTAAGAAATTAATTTATATGATCTTCATTCAGCACAGCATAAAGCAAATCTGTTGAGTCTATTGGATGTTCTGCTACTGGTGTGATCATAATGTATAGCTGCACATGCACACAATAAAATAAAAATAAAAATAATAAAGACAGGTTATTCACAGGAAACGGCTCGGCATGTCGTCACAGTATAAAACAAAACAGTCGCTGGTTTTTCAAATTAAAGCTTCAAACTGAAATCATAGGAGGGTTCCTGTTAGGAATGTGTGATATAAACGATATACGGTAGAAACAATATAAATTTGTCCTATAATAGAGATCTGTAGTCTACCGGCCAACCGCTCAATTCTTTTTGATGATGTAACCAGCTGGAGTCAAAACACAGGAAGTGTGGCTGAGAGAGCAAATGTAGAGGGGAAAACTTATCTGGACCTGGTTCAGGTGTGTGAAAATGAACTGTTTACATGATGGAGCGTCCTCCGGTCGGACCGACCACACTGCCTGCTGCAGGAGGAGCGAGCACCGCTGCATGTGACGCAGCGAGGCGACAGTCAGTGCAGGTGAGGTAGTGCTCCAGGACTCACAAAAGCTCTGAGTCTGGACCTCATTTCTCCTGCGGTCATAGTGCGACACCGCACGGCCGAATGCACGCACACTCCACGCGCACTCTAAAGCTCGACTATAAAACTCAGCTTTACTGTCTCCTGGTACAGCAGAGAAGAGCTGTGGGAAAGACTGACAGTCAGACTGTCTTTACAAAAATAAAAGTAAATCATAAACGGGATGATTGTCACCCCGCCGGAGCGAGCACAGATTAAACAGGTGGAGAGCTGAAAAAATAATCTGCAAAGTGTGTAGAAATAAATAAATACAAACAATTTGTTTTACCACCTTAAAATGAAGCAGGTGATTCAAACACAACATCCAATGGATGCAGATATCTGTTACATTAAAGTTATTGTGTGTGTGTGTGTGTGTGTGTGTGTGTGTGTGTGTGTGTGTGTGTAACTTTGATTTAACCAGGTAGATCTCCCTTAAATTTAGATTTTTATGGGAGACTTTAAAGTGTCCCTTAAAAATGAGATTTTAAGATCTAATTTTTTTACCTATACATTTTTATTCCAGTCAATTAATGTGATTTATTTATTTTCTATTATAAGTTTTATATTGTGATATATATCATTACCACCACTCATCATAATGTATATCGCACATTCCTAGTTCCTACACATTTTAAGATGATTTAATGATACCCAAGTGCATTTACTGTAAATGTAGACCATGGTTCGTTACGTAGCTTTATGCAACAAACAGGTCATCCCACAGCAAATCACCTGATGGTTTCAACCCGACAACCTCAGGGTTTGATGAAAATTGTCTGTGATCCCACAGCACAGCATCTCAAATGTTACTGGTTCCTGAGATGTGGGATTTTCTGCAAAAATGGGCTCATTTATTAGAACCTAAGATAATTAAATCAAAAACGTAAAAGCAGAATTAAAATCCTTATTGAATTCTGTTTTCAATGATTCCAAGTTTGTGAGAAGTGACCCAGTAGATCCTGAGAGAGCAGCCTGTATGTCACGATCATTTCATTAACTTTTCAGTTAATGTGGGGGAAAACGATCCAAACCAAACAAGGAGCCCATCAGTTTAAAGCCCAGACTCTGCTCTTTCCAACAATGTGTCACAGCTCTGAAGAAATGTATAGTTATTATAGCTTAATACTGATATTACAAACAACACCAGAGTGTTAGGGTTTCCTTATTTTATGATACTTTTATAATGTTTGTTATATTATGTGTTAATTAAATAGGGTAGCTACATGTCCGAATCATTAAACAAAACATATACATATGTAATTACATAAGAGTGAGGTTTGTTTGTCTGAATGCCTGTGATTCAGCTGTAGGCCAGCAGGGGGCGAACTCAGCCATTGAAGATTCCTGGACTGTATCTACAGGGGACTTCCTGTTTCTGATTCAGTGTGTGGTTCTGACTTGTCAGTCCTTGGCATAATAAACCCCCACTCCAGGATTCTGCTGTTGTGTGACATTATTTCTTATCACAGATCATTTTATTTAACACTTGTGTTTTCATCTGATTTCAGCCGATATTAAAACACGTATTCCTCACAGCTCTACGTGAAAAATTCACAGAACAAGCAGCCAAGGAATAGTGAAAAAGGCTAAATTCTGGAACCATAAAAACAAACGTCTTTCCTTTGTTTTTATGACTTCAATCCACTTTGGAGTGATTTTTATCCTCTTGTCTGGACCTGTAGGTCTCCTGTGTTAATGTTGGTACATGTAATATGATAATTCTGTACTGTGGACATCATTAAGAGTCGTTGTCGGGTGAAAATATATTTTGCTAACACTGTGTTGACCGTGAACTGGAAGTGTTGGGAGTGGCATCACGTGCTGGACCAGATGTCTGTGGCATATAGGCTGTTGGGGTTGAAAATAGACAAACAGTGATTTGTAGAGAAAATCTGAGCGTTTGGGTCCAAACCTCTGGAACCACTGGTCTGATTGACCTAAAACCTGAGACGCTGTGCTGTGGGACCACAGTGGACCAATATGATCAAATCTGAGAAGTTCAGGTGAAAATCTCTTCTCTTTTTTAGCTGATTTGAAACTTAGTGACCCACATGGCAAATGTAACCCATATCTGAGCCTAATGACGTCCACAAGGTAAACAATGTAAACAAAAATTATGACTATTACTGTGTACACATTTAGAGTCATACTTCATTACATGTTTTTACTTCCAAAGTGCCAAATTCAGGAAGCAAAGTTGAACAAAATAAGAGCTGGTTTAAAACCTTGTTTAATCTTAAGGAAACAAACATCTGGAAGTTTCTCCAGACTTTTCAGTCCTAAAACACTAAAAGTAAATTCCAGATTTTTCCTCGACGGTGTATGAGCCCTGATCAAATAATGTGTGGCAAACAGAAACACTTTGCAGAGACTACCAGAACAATTTACAGGTAGATTTAAAACAAAGGCTGAAGTCGTAGCCACGTTTTCTACATCCCTGTGACACTGGAGGACACACTGAACTGTGTGAACTCATCGCACACACTGCCACCTAGAGGCACTGAGCAGGAAGAACAGGACAGTGAGTTAACCTGAGGTAGCCAAGCCAAATTAAATACGCTTTGGAATCAAACAAAAACACAATAGTGCATTTCTCAGAAACCTAAAATCATTTCACACTCACAAGTCAAAACTAGATGATTTCTGTGTAAAATTATGAACAAAAGAATCAAGACAAAACTCCTGGTTCAATTCAGACAAAGTCCCAGGTCCTGAGAAGTCATAGTTTCACTGCACCTTTTATCAAAAATAAAAAATAAAAAAAGCGTACAGAGTTATCTCATAATAGCCAAGCTGATATGGAAGCAGTTTAAAAACATAAACCAAAAATAAACTGTTAAAAAAAAGATATAGAAAGTTTTGAGGGGTGTAATTTTTCCAAGTATAAAAACAAATGTGTATATACAAAAATATACAGTACGTCCTAACAAGTCATTCCTACAAAATAAATTTTTTTCTTCAAATTTTCACTATTTTGTAAACTTTTTCAAGTTGTCGTTTTTAAGTCTTTACCATTAAAAAAGGGTCGTTCCTAAAAAAATAAGTCTAAAATATGAGTCTTTTTATCCATCATAAATTTATGTCAATCCAGATGTGAGATTTTCAAACTAAAACAGTTCTTCTTATAAAAAGTGGAAGTGTGTGTGAAAGGGCTCTGAGCGGTGTCAGCTCTGCTCCCTCAGTACACACCAGGAATGATCCGGTAGCGCACGGTCCGGCAGTACTCGTCCCACGCTGAGCCGTACTTCCTCCTGCACTCGCTCATGTCACGTGAGTCTCTGTGCACGAGCAGAATGATGAAGTAAATCATGTAGTACCACGGCAGGAGGTGGGAGAAGCCTGGTGGTCCCAACAAAAACAGGGTTTTAGATGCTCCTCCTCCATGTTGAACTGAACACAGAACTCATCTGACAACATAAAGCTTCATTAAACACCAACACAAAGACCAGCTGGACTCACCACAGGGGAGGGACCAGGCCAGAGCCATGACCAGGTCTCCCAGATAGTTGGGGTGGCGGACCACGCCCCACCAGCCTGACACCAGCAGACTCTTCCCTGTAGCTGTGGGGATGGTCTTCAGGTCTGCACAGAACACAAACAGGCTTCATACTTTAAATAAAATTACATTTAAGACTTTTTAATGCCAAATGAAATTAAATTTAAGACCAGTTTCACAATAAACACAAAGGACAAAATAAATAAAAACTGGCAGAAACTCATGAATCCAAGTATTTTTGGTTGAAGTATTCAAATATTCCTAATAAACCAGTTGTTTTTAAAACTGCTTTTTTGTCAAATATAACAAAACCATTCAAAGCAGTCAGTTTTAAACTTTTTTTAATTCCTGGAAGTTACCTAACAACACAAAAATGTGGAGTTTCAGGACCCACAGTGGGGTCCCACCCTAATTCACTGTAGATGAAACTTTAAAGTGTCTGTGACATCAAGTTTTTTGAAGAAATTTGAATATATTTTTGGAAAGACAACATTATTAATTTATGAAACAAATTTCACGATGCTCTGACGGGCGGTTGTTGAGATATTTGCATGTGAAATAACAGGAAGTGATGTCAAAGGGGAGTGTCTGCGTGTGAAATAACAGGAAGTGATGTCAAAAGGGGAGTGTCTGCGTGTGAAATAACAGGAAGTGATGTCAAAGGGGAATGTCTGCATGTGAAATAACAGGAAGTGATGTCAAAGGGGAGTGTCTGCGTGTGAAATAACAGGAAGTGATGTCAAAGGGGAGTGTCTGCGTGTGAAATAACAGGAAGTGATGTCAAAGAGGAGTGTCTGCATGTGAACGTTAAGAAAAGTTACCAATTATTTTAATATTTGATTTGAATTACAATAAATCATCATATGAACAATGTGTTAATATTTTTAAGACTTCTGACAGATTGATTTAAGACATTTTAAGGCTAATTAAGGCCTTATTTTTGGATTGATGAATTCAAGGACTTTTAAGAGTTTTTAAGGATCTGCAGGAACCCTGACCAAAAGGATTCGAGCCTTTCATGAGGACATGCAGAGTCCAGAGGAAACTTACGGGACAGTTTGGGGTCCGACGGGTTCCTCCTGAAGGCATTTTTCTCTGAGTTGGACTTCCTGAAGATGTAGAATCCAACAACTGAAGCACAAAACAAAAAGGACAGTTTATCAGCCAAACAGGAATAGAAATATTTCACATCTTTGTATTATACTTCAGGTAGCAGCCTCTAAATAACATGAAAACAAACCAAATAATAATAAGTCTACAGCAGAGGGTCCCTGGACCTCCAGGGGTCCGTGAGAGGTATCTTGGGGGGCCCTCAAAAATTTTACTAAAATGTAAATTTGTTTTTTATTTTTAATAATGCATGGAGAACAATGAACTAATAAAACAAACATAATAAACTTAATAAAAAGATATATTCCCATGGCATTTAGGGGTTGAAATGACAATAAATTAACAATTATCTTTTAAAACAGCAGGGGGGTTATGAGGGGGTCTCGCCCTGGTAAGGGGTCCCCAGACCCAAACGGCTTGAGAAGCCCTGGTCTCCAGGACAGGACTGAAACAAGGATGAGCAGTAAGTTCAGAAGCTGTTTCTACTCACGTTTGAGAAGGATGATGGCTGTGAGGAGCGGGGGGCTCAGGGGGTTTGGGTGACCCACCAGGTAATACGCCTGCAGGGTGTAAGTAAAGGGAACCCACACCAGATCTCCAAAAGCCAACATGAAGCCAAAACCATCATGCATCAGGTCCATGGTGGTGAGGATGGCCTCCTGGGAGGAACACAGAGCAGTCAGTGAGCTGACCCACACAGCTGGTTCTGGTTCTGGTTCTGGTTCTGACCTCGTTCCACAGGCCGTCCGTCACATACAGCAGCTGGAAGACGTTCACCAGGATCATGGAGTGTGACGGAGCATCCAGACCCTGCTGCTTCATCTCAGCCAGAGCCATGGCCAAGTTAATTAAACACTGAACAATTAAACAAACACAACTCATCATCACTGCTCTGTGTGGACAAAGTGTTGTACAGAGCTGCACAGGTACACAAAACCAGGTCACTGCTGCACAACACGGTCCACTGGGTTACAATGACAAACTCAGGGTTTGGTTCTGAGAGTGATCGGGCTGGAATATGATGGAAAAATGTTATTAACTCATCACACACACACACACACACACACACACACACACACACACACACACACACACACACACACACAC